CGTGGGTTGCGGCGCAGGCTGCGGCGCGGGTTGTGGCGCGGGTTGAGGCGCGGGTTGAGGCGCGGGTTGCGATGTAGGTTTTTCTTGCAACCATGTACTAATGCGCACTGATGCCAGATCGTCTTCTATTTCTTCATCTTCATCGGTTGATCCGGCTTCTGCTTGTAGTCGCTGCACGTGTATTTCTTGCAATTCTGTTCTTGCTTGCAACTGAGCCTGCTCGAGCTTGAGTTCGGCTAACCGCTCTTTCGCCTCTAACTCCGCGAGGAGCCTCTTGCGTGAGGCTACGGAGCGGCGTGACCTAGTCTCGCCGGGCTTCAATGTGCACTGCGATCTTTGATCACCCTCTTGCTGGGTTTCTTCCGTTGCGGTTGTTCTATCGGTTGCCGAGGTAGCGGTCGTATCGCTGACCGTTGTGGTTTCGCTAGTGGTGTTTGTTGAACCACTAGCGGCTGAGTCGCCCCCGGAGGCCTCTTCTGTGGCCCCCTGGGTTGTTTGTTCATCCTTGCGACGCTTCGATGATTCTCCGTTGTTACTACGCGTTATCACCATTTTTCTTCACAATAATATTTTTTCGTTCTTGCGGTTTGCTTCTTTCTTCCGGCAATACCAAGACCGATATTGTCTTTTTCTTCTAGTAATCCGGCTTCTCGAAGGACCATTAATATTACGGATCGCCGTAATGCCGTGCGAAAAATGGAATAAAACGCGCTGGTCTTGCTTTTAACTGGAGGCAAGCGGCGGTGAGGAGGAACTTGTACTTTTTCTTTTCTTGCTGGTGCCTTTTCGGTGGCTGGAGAGCGACTGCTGACCCTAGCGGCCGGCCCGTCTTTTATATGATTTGGCCGCTGCTGGCCAGCGGACCCTTGCCTCACCCCCGCGCCTATCTTTATTTATTTAATAACCTTACAAACTAATAAACATAATTCACTATATAATATTCTTATAACTACTTGTTAGACTAGGGTGTACATATCAATATTTTTACTTATTTACAGGTTTACATTATAATTTTCAGCTGCTTTAGGCGGAGAATCCTTCCCCCCGCCTCAGCACTATAAATATAAAACGTCGTGGCGCGGTGCGCGTGGCTTCATTTGCTCCGCGGCCGCGTCACGATAACATGCTCTTTGGTTACACTACTACTATTATTTTATGTGCCTAACGGCCTAATATATTTATTATATAATAAAGTAAACATTTATTATATTTAACAATTACAGTTTTCATTAGAAGACTATGCTAACTCTCCCTGTTCATACGGTGCCTTTATTTGGGAGAGTTATTGCACAGTTACAACTCAACCTTAAACTTAGTTATAATACAATCATTATTTTTTATCGTTCGATACAAGTAATACAATTATTTACACAAATTATAATTTAAATTCAACATAAGGTTGCGCTAGTTCCGCCGTATAACCCTTGCTAGTTGTCGAACCAGAGGCGTGGCCTGATAATTACACCGTCGTCATGGCTCCGCCCACCGCTCCTAGGTTGTTCAACTAGCGCCGGTTACAATAAGCATTTTCTTTCGTTTGTTTAATATTGTTGCGTCGTGCACATTATTATTATTTATGTCACTTCAGGTTATTAATCCGTTGGGCTATGTGGTGTTACTCTGCTTTTGCTGCGATTTTTTTTCATTTAAGAGCATTTGACTGCACTATTTCAAGAAGCCTTAGAATGCTGTGAGCTCTCGAGACTTCTCACAACCACATTACGAAATCTAAAAATTATCGGACCCATAACATGTCTTAAGAGAGAACGAAGTGTGAAATATGGGTAAATCAGGAATGTCTAGAACAGGTAAATGAAATTGTATACTTGGGGAGTGCTTTTAGCCGGGATGGAAGATGTGATTTAGATGTGGACAGGCGTGTCGCTGCCGGGAACAAAGTCAATGGTGCCCTGACTGCGTTAGTCAAAAGGCAAGGCGTAGCGAAGAGTGCACGCCTTGCAATACATAACGCAGTGTTGGTACCGACTTTGTTATATGGCAGCGAAACCTGGGTATGCCAGAAGAAGCATAAAAGTAAGTTGAATGCAGTGGAGATGCGATCTCTTCGTAAAATGTGCGGCGTTACTATGGCCGACCGAAAGCGAAACGAAGAGATTCGCAATATGGCAGGTTTGAAAGATGACCTTATCACAAAAATTGATAAGGGCGTGCTTCGGTGGTTTGGGCACGTTGAGCGAATGAGTGAAGACCGAATGGTGAAGAAAATATATAGCGCGAATGTTAATATTAAAAGGTGTCGAGGTAGACCGAGACTAACTTTCGAAGACCATGTGAGTAAATTGCTCGAAGAGGGTAGGGTCAAGAGTACTCGGATACCTAGACGTGCATGTATGAAGAAGATAATGAATCTGAAAGAAGCGAAAGAGATATGTAAGGATCGTGACACTTGGCGATCTGTTCTCTCTGGCTACCCCGTCAGGGATTGTGCGTGAAGATAAGTAAGTAAGTATAACATGTCTTTCAACTGTATACAAGAACCAACTGCAATTTTAAATAAAAAAATATTCATGTGTGTAAAATAATATATTTTTTTTATAGGATGAGGTGACAAACGAGCACACAGTCCACCTGATGGTAAGTGGTTGCTGCGGCCCATAGACATCTACATTTATCCTCAATAAAGAATGCAGATGCGTCGTCACCCGTGAGGACTAAGACGGAATGCCTCTTTTCCAGTAAAATGGGTCTCCGGTTCCCTACACTCACCTCACCATACGAAACACAGGAGCATTAAGCTGCTATTTTACTCTGGTATTCTGTGAGAGCGTGGTCCTTCCCCGGTCGAGCCGACCCATTCGTGCTACAGCTATACTACTAATATAGCTGCAGCATGGCTCTACCATGTATAATACCATCTTTTAACTGGTTGTTCGAATGTCGGAATGTTCTGTAAAGAACTTCTTCTCATTGACACAGCTGTTTACCGACAAGTCTATTGTCACCATAAAAATCTATTCGCTGCTTGTAATTTACCTACAAGAAGGTATGTGACTGTTCCACATTCATGGCTATATATAAAAAAAAAAAAAGATAACAAAATTTTAAAGTTTTTAGGTAAATGCATGGGTCAGTGAAACACTGTCCTAAACCTGCTAGATGAGTGACATAAAAATTCAATGGACTCTTTAAATATACAGCGGGGTATATTCCAGGACAATAGTTTAAGCCTAACTTGGTTTTGCTTAGCTCTGAATTCTTTATGCATTGCTCTGAGGGAATGAGGATTCTGAATTGGAGTTTCGGTTTCAGAAAGAAAGTTCATGCATCTTACATCTACTTTACATGGATGATCTCAAGCTATACACATCTAAGAAGAGTGATTATTGTTGAAATTATCACTTAATTCCAAGAATGCTATTAGAATGAAGTTTGGAGTAGATAAATGTGGTGTTAGCCATCTGAGTTGAGTCATAATTAAAAATAATGATAATATATATATATATATATATATATATATATATATATGATTTATATAATATACTTACTATAAAATATCTTTGGTTACAACCATGATAGCGGCAGCATGGCTCTACCACGTTAGTTACTTATTCAATTTCAGTTACAAGTTGTTAATTCAATTAATTAATCTACTTCTCTAATCTACTTTATTAACTTTCCAATCTACTTTTATTAATCCTACATGTTATATAAGTCCCAGAAAATATACAGGACTTATCTATCAAAAAGTTATTACGAAAAATTTTTTTTATAAGGGTTATTAAACTACTAAAGAGTACATGATTAATTATAACCCCTGTGAATAAGGTGATCATTACCATGCTGTTTCTAAATGTTTTCTTATTTAATTGTATAAAATATTATATTTTAAACTAGCGATCCAGCCCTGTCCTCGCACGTGTGATTTCTGGATCTCGACAACAGCGCCACCTACCGGGTCCAATTGTGAATCTAAACCATCCACTCAAACGAAAAAAAAATCATCAAAATAGTCTCAGCGGTTTTCGAGTTTTAGCGAGACTAACGGACAGCAATTGATTTACATTTATTGAGTTATACGGGGTTAAATTTTAAACTTAAGTTCAAATATATAAAGAATTAAATACGAATAAATAAGGCTTCTACTTTTATTTGAAACTAGCCGTTCCCCGCGACCTCACCCGTGTTTGAATTAATATTATAAATTGGGTTTTAAGTTTTTGCGCGGAACCCTAATTCTTTTTCTAAAATAAAAGTAGCAAAGTTACTTCTTATAACATCAGCTATCTACTAGTGAAAGTCCGGTCAAAATCGGTCCTGTCGTTGCGGAGATTAGCCGGAACAAACAGACAGACAGACACAAAAAATCGTGTTTTTGTTATAAGTACCGTATATACGTTTATATGTATATAGTAAAAAGCTGTTATTTCGACATTACAAACAGACACTTTAATTTTATTGATTTGTATAGATTAACCCAAATTGAATATGATTTATGGGCGTACGCACGCTCCTCTGTTTGCGATTCAATTCACAACGTTTTTGGCGACCGATCGACCCTTACAAACACAAATACGTGCGTGAGTGAGTGCATAGTAAAATAAATATTTTTGAATGATAATCAGTTAAAATAATACATTACCAGCCATTATTCATTTAAAAGATAAAAAGAAAAGCATGTTTGAGATTTTTTAATTAATGTTTAAAAAAATGTCCGCTGGGTTTCTTGCTGATTCTTCCTACGTCAGTGGTTTTTCCGGACCAGTGGTAAAGCTTAAATGACTTTAAATAGTTATCTTTTTAATCTATAGATAAGGAATAAAATTATTCTATATTGGTCTATTCTACTAGGTTAAATGCTAAAACTTCGCTAAGTTAACAGGTAAAACTTTGTGGAAAAAACTTCAACTTCGTGTGTTTGTTGATACATGACGCATTGCCGCACTAGTTTTTATCTCTTGCCCTTCAGCCTCCATTCGCATAGTCCCCGCTTCGAATCGAGTCGAGGCGAGGTGTTGCTTATTATGACACTTGACAGCAGCATATACGTTTTCGCGTTCGCGGTGTAAGCACTCGTCGTGTTATATAGGCGCTAGTGTTGTAACTTTGGATAATAAACAATTGAAAAATCCAGTGATAATGGCGCCGGTATCAAATACAGTGATGGGCATCGACGATGACCAACGTTTCGCTTTAATGAAGGTGAGATAATAAATTTTAAACTATCACTTATCTCCTGGTCACGGTTGGTATGCTTTTTTACAAAATAGATGTCTTGCATTCCATTTCCGTTCGTTGCCCCTTTCGATTTGTTTTCGACATAAGGAAATCGGGCTACTTAAGTAATAGTATACCCGTTTCAAGAAAAGGCGTCCCAATATTAATCACAAATTAGAATTAAATTATTTTTACACTATGTAGTTCATACAAATTCTTGTCTTTTTGATCACAACTGTGTTTAAAGGCAATTTTGTTAATGATTGATAATATGTTCTTACAAAAACATTAACAATAAAAAGACATTTAGTAAAATATTTTTATTAAGTAGGGTTGCCATCCGTCCGGGTTTCTTCGGATTTGACCTATTTCGCAAACAAATAATAAGAACACAACTAATAATAATAACTAACGCAGGTTCACACAAAGTCACATTTTGTTTAACCGTTCTGTGCGAACGCGATACAATACAATTCGTAAATTTGGTTTTAATAAATGTCTAGTATTCGTGTAAATATAAGAAATCATTACATTCTAGACTACGCCCTTTGTGTCGCCACACCTGATTCATTTGAATGGTGGTTATTAAATGAAAACAACCTTTCACATATACCTGTTGGAAAGGAAGGCATTAGATAATAAACATGAGCTCGTTAAAATGGAGAACTAACTCCTAATTTACAATAAATATTTAGACTACTTTTTATACGTGGGCAAACCCTCATAGAAAACCATGCACACTGACGCAGCCCCAACGGCTGAAGTCTATATCTACAGGCTCCTTATCGTTGAGGGAGTAGAGCTAAAGATCCCCACCCCTTCTATATTCTGGGCAGAAGAGAGCACTGTATGCTCCACCAAAACTACGCTAAGTCATCTCGAGGCATTAGGTGTAGGGCGTTGGATAACCCCTATGTCCGCCGCCTAGGTCTTAATTAGGGGGGGGGGGGGCAGAGCCTGAATGATTCTCCTCTGGTGACCGGCTCTCCGGCCGGACTGGGATATTTAACCACTCTGACAGGACCGGATGAGCAGCCTCGACAATTTTGGTTCCCGTCCTCGGGTGACCAGACCCTCGTTCTACTTTTCAATTATAAACTGGTGAGCGTGAACACACAGACACACACACACACACATACACAATGCAACGATGCATTGAACTCCGTCTTCATGTCCCAAGGAGGAGACCCTATCAATAAAAAAAAAACGGTAGCAATTATTTAGACTACCTTGCATAAATAGATGATTTACATTATTTTTAACATCGTTATAATAAATACATGACATAATTTAGTTATAGAACCCTAAATTGTATTGTTAATTCACCTGACAGTTTTCTTAATTTTTTCTTGATGCCAAAAAGAAGTGAATTTCTAATTATATTTGTTATCAAATTACCTTTGAAAGAGAATATTGTATAATTAATTAGCCATAATTATTTAAGTGTTTTATTTGACTTGCTGCAAATTAAACAGTAAACAAAATATAGAAATGAATAAAAAAGTTGAAGTGAAAAAAAAGTTGAAATGTTTTAATTTTTCTACCGACTTCAAAAAGGAGACGGTACTGAATTCGACTGCATGTTTTTTTATGCGTGTTACCTCATAACTTTTTACTGGGAGAACCGATTTCGATGATTTTTTTTTAATTTGAAAGCTGGTGCTTCACTTGTGGCCCCGTATAAATGACTAAGGTCTGACCAATAGTTTATGAGTTATTCTTAATAATTTATAGTGTAGTCGGTTGTACAAAAATTTTTAATTTTAAATTATGTTGTGAACAATTTTAATGGTGATAATTAAAAATTAATGTACAAAATAAAAGTTACAGTACCTCCTCCTGTTTGAAGTCGGTAAAAAATGGTTGGTTGCAGTAGAGTTTCTATAGCAATCAAATGTCCGTAGTTTTTGAGGTTTTAGTCCAGCATTAGCAATTTAGGCAAGGTCTGTTCTACTTCAATCAAATTTCAATCTGAAATCAATGAATTTAAATGACGTAAATATATTTACCACACATTAACCCCAGAACAACATGCGATTGGCGCCTTAAAATATGAATAATGAATATTATAAGAACTAGAATTTTATAATGAAACCTAATTTATGTAAAAATGTGCACATTCATTTTATTAGTGTACAAAAAGGTTGGATACCTACCTATATTCGAGTTGTAAACTGTGTGTATAGTTACATAGTACATATTATTTATTCTGTGGTATAGTTTGTTTCTAAATACTGCCGTAGGTATGTTTTGCGTGTTGATAATAATAATTAAAGTCAAATCATTCTAATCTAACGCAGTTTAGGTCTGTGAACGCAAATAAAACAAATTTTGTAGATTTTAGACTACAAAATAATAAAAACTTGATTCCAAAAAATCAACGCGTAATTTCATATCTGTCCATAATGTATTCATTAATCATCATCATCATTAACATTTAAAAACCGAATGACCTTTTTCACTAAATAATTTTTGATTCTAACCGGATCCGGGCGGCAAAAATCCACGTGTCACTGTGATAATTTAATATTTTCTTTACTCATGTGGTAATAGTATTTAAACATTTGACGGCTGGGTATGGGTAGTGCAGTAGGTGGCGGCTTTTCGGACCGCGGCCATTCCCGCACGGAACGAGTGTATATATGTACTACAAATAATTTTTCGGGGTTTGAGTGTTTACCCGTGTACAATCAAAAAGACAAATTGCATCAAGATTCTGTAAAAAATATACTTGTATAGGTGATATGAAAGGTTTATACGTGATAGAGTCACATCGTTATATTATGGTTGTAGCACGAATGGGTCGACTTCTTAAGAACCATGCTCTTAGAGAATACTAGCGTGAAGTTTGGTGAGTGTAGAGAACCGGAGACTCGTTTTACTGGAAACGAGGCATTCCATCTTAGTACTCAGGAGTGATAACGATTCTGCATTTTGATTCTTAATCGAGGATAACTGTAGGCTATACTATAGCATTCACTTATCATCAGATGTACTGTGTGCTCGTTTGTCACCCTTATATCTATACAAGTAAATAAAATTGAAGTGTCTGTTTGTAAGGTCAAAATAACAGCTTTTTACTAAATCCATATGAAAGTATATATGGTACTTATAACAAAAACACAATTTTTTAAAATTTTGTCTGTCTGTCTGTTTGTTCCGGCTAATCTCCGAAATTGGCTGGACCGATTTCGACGGGACTTCCACTGGCAGATAGCTGATGTTATAAGGAGTAACTTAGGCTACTTATATTTTAGAAAAACAATTAGGATTCCGCGCAACATAATTAAAACCCTAAATTACGGGGAACAGCTAGTTATATATAAAAATCAATTGCTGTCCGTTAGTCTTTCAAAAACTCTAAAACGGCTGGACCGATTTTGATGAATTTTTCGAAAAGTTCGAGTGCGTCCCTGTATGATCTACACGATTCACATTGGACCCGGTAGATGGCGCTGATGTCGAGATCCAGAAACCACGCGTGCGATGTCGAGGCGGATCGCTAGTTCTATATATAAAAAAAAAAAAACAAATTACAAAGCATATGATGAAACATGATATCATCATCAAATTTAGCATAATTATGCATATTATATTTTTTTTTATTAATTCAGCATATTGTATTTGAACATAATGCCTGTATGTAAAAAGCCAAAAGTAAAATTTCTCGCATCCGCTCTTTGACTTATTAATTATATTTATTAGAGAGGATTTATGTAGCCCTCTCCGCTCTACATACGGGTTAAGTCCACACAAATATATAATACCAAAAAATGTTTTGTTTTCATAAAATTGAAGTGACAATAGAATATAAAGTAAACCTTATGCAACCCGATGATAGTGTCATGAACTCTGGGTCATGATCTATCTGCTCATGGCTCTACAACAGTTTAACCCTTTTTTAATTAACATGCGGAAATCTGGGAACTCTGTGAAACAAAATTGAGTTGATCTCAAAGTGCTTTATCATTATTTTGCAAGCTCGAGAAAAACTTTTTTTTATCATTTCTAGTATTACTATCGGTACGGTTTTTTCGCATAAGTCACGCTGATTGGCTCGTGCGTATCGTTCGCACGCGCTGGTTGGCTCTCCTGTTGCATTCGTGCAATTCAGTTCGTGCGCGTCACCTCCACGTTTCGTTCAGCGCTAGACTTACGTGCCACAACTTATACTCTCTGCTAATTAAAATCCTGGTTTTCGTTACCGTTACTGTTACCGTTACAGTTTTTCAAAAGGCTCTATGTACTCTAAGGACGGAACTCATATTCCAAAGTATCGCGAATTTTTAAATTTTCTATGGTCATGAAAAACAAATCAAAAACCGATTAATTAGAAGCAATGTCAGCTTTAATATTATATCATTTATATGAATTTAGAATAACCAGATAGCACAATATCTGGCGATATCGAACTACACGCAAGCCATATTTTTATATAAAAAACAAATGTTAAGTAATTTTTTATAGAATAATGGTTTCAAACGAGCATACACTTCACCTCATGCAGACCAAGAATGCAGAACCACAATGCAGATGCGTTGTCACACCGGAGGACTAAGATGGCATGCTTCGTTTCCAGTTAAAGGGGTCTCCGTTTCTCTACACTCGCTACACGAATCACAGGAGCATTAAGCTGTGAGGGCTAATAATTTTCTGCTCACCAGATGCCGCTAATTGACACTGAGGTTTTTTTTGTAACACAGTGTAATTTAATTGAGAAGATGTTTTGTAATAAAAGTTTATCAGTTTCTAGAGTATTATATTAATACAAGAACAATGCGTCAGTGGTTTGCTCTTTAATTTTTTGCACATTTCGAAGGACTTCTATGGGACAGGATGTTGGTTGGAATTGTTTGGCTAGCTTAATTCCTAGCAGTATTTATTGTAAGTAATAAATTATAATCAATATATAATTCTTTTAATTCAATGCCAGTGTTTTTGTTCCTTTTGTGAAAAATCTTTACCCTTCATTTGGGCCCCCCGAC